GTTGCTAATGCCTTTGATGTTACTGTTGATGTTGTCGCCACAGCTGCTGCTGTTGTTGCTGTGCATGTTTTTTGCTGCTGCTGTTGTTGCTGATGCCTTCAATGTTACTGCTGCTGTTGATGTCGTTGGTGCTGTAGCTGTTATTGTTTGTTATTGCTGCTGACAGTTATTGTGCTTCAATTGCTAAGCTATTTTAAAATGGTTTAATCCAAGTATGTTTGTTTATTATAGGATTACCTATCCTACCACACAAGTGCAATCCTGGCTGCTACAATAGATACTCTCTCCCTCCCCTACCGTCTCAGCTCCCCTCTCAAATGCCACATGGATGATATCACAAAATGTTTGACTTTTGGTGGAAGAAAACTCACAAGTGCTTCGACATCATTTCCTCTCCCCATTGGATATGACCATCAGCTTGGTGCTCTCTTAGACTCTGCTTTTTACTCAAAAGACTCCAAGCTATTACTGCCTTTGACTCCAAATGTCGAGCAAGTAACAAATTTGATGTCCCAGGTTTCTATTTTTAGAGGTGGTAGCCCATCAATTCCTCAAAATGCAAAAGTGGCTCAACCGTCAAAGAAATTTAAGAGTTTGATGGATGGCTGTCAATCAAACTTAGAAATACTAAATATATTTTCTCAGGCATGTAATCCATCAGGTGCCTGTTCAAACTGGGTGAGTGACCAAGCATGTAAGGTGGAACCCCCTTTTCCAGGAATCTTCACTCCCAGTGTATCTAAGAATGGTTTTGTCCAGGAAGGATTCCAAAGGGACCACAATTGTATCGTTGAGCAGGTCAGCGTGTTGTCTAGCCTTGGTATGTCAAAATCAATTGGAAACATGCTCTATTCAATCACTAACTGGGCAAAAAAAGTGGATATCAAGAAACATAATTCCTTCATTGAAAGTGGTTTGGAATATGAGACTTTTATGAATGTGCTGGTTGATCTGGAAAGCCATGCTCATAATTATGAAAATCCATGATTGTATTCATAAATAAATACAGAATTATCAACATTATGCTTCAGGAGGAGTTCTGTTTCAATAGAGACTCTGGTGTCTAAAGCTACAGCTCTTACCTGGTCATAACTAAAGATAAAATTCAACTCAGGTCAAGGATCTATAAAATATCTTGTGGAAGTACAAGTCAACGACACGAGTGAAAAACGTCTGCGCATGCTCTGAATCCATATGCAAATTACTCAAAACATGTAAATTTGACTTTCAAACATGCCTGATAAATTGGACTTCACAAAATGCCAAAACTTAGTGTCCATGCTTGAAACTTAAGGGTGATTCTTTCATATTGTGTTTGTAATACAGTATCTTGGTCTGACAAAAGTACTGTATACTCGCGAAATTTTTTGTATGCTTGGAGAAAACAAACATTTTTTTTCTTACTCAAACTCTTCAAAATTCTTAGAAAACGTGCTGAAGTGCACGCATGTGCAAGCGTTTTTTCCTGGTGTGCAGGTCAACTCCATTATTTATGGTTCTGACACAGACAAAAGTGAACCAATCATCCCTGCAGCTGTTTTCCCAGTGGGATTAAAATCTTGTCCCACAAACAACTAAACAGAATCTGTTTTAAAGAGTACTACAACGATTACGAGGAATATTTTTCTTCTATTTTCACAAGACAGCAAACAATAGAAACAATGTATATTCAAATTGAGTAGGTATCATGTTCATTTATAATATATTTTTCACAATCAATTGATTTTTATAGTTAAATTGTCATTTTGGTCTCGCTATCATGGTAAAAACCTGATTTTTAGAGCTAATTTGCTTCTCGAAGTTCTGATTGTAATGAGTTTTTGAATGTCCACACTTGTCCTCCAAAATGGAAGAATATTATTTTATGAGCCATGAAAGATCTTGGAGATCTAAGCATTTAAAATGTCAACAGTTGTCCTCCAACATGGCAAAATATTGTTACCCGATTGTTTTTTAACTGATCAACTCTTGTCCTCCAACCAGGGGCAGATCCAGGATCACTAGTAACCCCCTTTTCCTCAAATTCCCTGAAAAACTTTGTAGTAGTCACACCCCGTGCCTTCTAAAATTCCTGGATCCGCCCCTGCCAATATTGTAAAAATGATCATATGTGCTGTTACAGCATCTTTCCTCTTGAAGGTTGAAGTATTTGATTTTCAGTTTATGAATGTTCATTCTTGCCCTCCAATATGGAAGAAAATTATCATGTGACGACTTAGAATTGCCCATGCAACTAAAATACTCTATTATCAGGCGTCGAAGCACCATTGCACTTTGTGCTTCCACCTATCGTAGTCATACCGGTCCCAGTAGATGAGGTATGTGCCTGACGAAACCGGGAGTCTGTYGGCTGACTTGTGCCACAGGGTTCCCGCAACAGTAGCATAAAGGCTTGTCTGAACCTCCTGGTTCGTAATGAATAAATAACCGGATTGGCCATGCTGTTCATGAAGATGAAGAAAAATGCAAGATAGTGAATCCAGGATCCATGAAGCCTTGCGATGCTATGGAGGAGGACTGGGAAACACCCCATCCAGAAATACGCAACGATTGTAATCCCAAGGGTCTTTGCGGTCTCGACGTCACTTCTGACTCTCTTGCCCATGTTGCTTTGCGGTCCTATTTGGCGACTGCTTAAACGCACCTCTCGCCAGATGAGAAAACCAAGTACCACTATGACTGCAAAGGGAACAAGATACCCTGGGATGAGAAATGAACGACCAAAGTTCTTGAAATAGTATTTTCTGTAAATCCAAACGGGCTTTTCTCCTACGTTGATATCTAATCCAAGACTGAACATCCCAAACGTGTAGGAAACTGCCGACCCCCATATACAGAAAACAGCGATCACAGCCTTGTTTTTGGTCTTCCACGAGTGGTATCTCAGTCCATGGACAATAGCACCATAACGGTCCAACATTAGAACCACGAGGGACGCCACAGTCAAGTACATGAATAGAACATACCAAGAAACAATGAACCAAGAGACAGCCGGTCCCTTTAGAAACGTCACCTGGCAAAGGTACCACATGATGAACAATGGCATGTTGGTCATGGCGTTGATGACGTCAATGAGGGCCAGGTTTGCGACAAGGATGTTGGGGACGGTGCGCAGGCTACGGAAACGAATCAAAAGGCCACATATTGCACCGTTACCAAAAATTGAAGTCGCCATAACTATCACAATAAGAATGATTTGAATATGGCTGCTCTCTCCAGTGCAATGACGAAACAAAACCGGCTTGGTTTGATTGGCAACTTGCGGGGAAGGGGTGGAGCTGTCATTACTCGTTGCCATGGATTCTCGGCTGAAAAAAAGGGGGAACAAACATACATGCTAATCATTAAAAACTTCATCAAACTTAATAACCGGCCCTGTTACATTTTTATGAAAGGAACTGCAACCTTTGTTGAAACACTGTTTTGGACACCTTTATGATGCCGGCTTGTGTGTAGTCTCCCCCACAGCCGCTTTCAGTGTCGTGTTTGCGTGACGACACTGAAAGCGACTGTGGGGGAGACTAGCTTGTGCGCTGCATGTCATTGGCCATTTAATTAACAAGTTACTTGCCACCAATTTTTGAGCAAAAAATAGTGTTTTTCATTGCATTGTTTGTTTTAAATTGGGTGAAGATAAATGATCTTGTTCTTTCAAACACTTTTGACTTCCATTAAGAAACGCTTGTGTGTGAGCTTTCGTGTAGTTTAATGGTAATAAGTTTAAAACTCGTCAAGATATGAATTTTGAAAATTTAAGTGTGAATCTTGCCAGAGTGAAAAAAGCCTTTGCAGCTGAATGCAAGAGATGCCTCCAACGAATGTTTTCATACAAGATTTTGAAAACTCATATCTTCGCGAATTTTAAACCTAATTCCTTTAAACTAATCTAAACAGCTCAGGAAAATGTCGGAATTGTGTTGCAAAAGATCTGTAAAGGCTACTTTGAAATTTTCAATATAAGTGTGCAAACAAACGCCTTAACTGTAATAAGAAATGGGGAAAAATTAAAGTTGTCGGCATATTTGATGGAGAATATTTGATGATAGAGGAGATTTCTTTGTTTGAAAGTTCTCTAGACAATACTGATATCTATATTGAATTTTTCTTACTTTCAGTATATGAATGCCTTTGCGGATTGTAAATGACAAAAATGACTTGGTAGTAGGTACGATCTTTGACAATACTTTCTGTTATGCTTTTAGAGCCAAAAAGTCAAAAGGACAAAATCCTTTAAGACAAATAAAGAAAGAAGAAAATAAGAAAATAACTGGAAATGTGAATAAAGCAAGCAGGGACAAGAAAAAAGCAGTTTATTCAGTATTATAAAACAACTGAAAAAGCTTGAAGAAAACCAACTGTTACAATTCGACTTTAAGTTTCCAATATGCAAGTTGAAAACAGAATTATAAAAACTGTCTTAAAATACAGGAAAAATTCAACCTTCGTATTGCTTTAGTTAAATTGAATTTGAACGCATATTTTGAACTTCCGAAAAAAATTTTTTTTTAAATCTTTGAAGATTTCGATTTTAATCAGGAATCTGACACAAAGTTCAGTAACTTGAAAAATGAGGTCTTTTTTGTTTGTATTTAGATTCAGGCAGCTATTTGACGTTAGTTTTAATATCTACATTTGCAAATTATTTTTAACGGCAGTTGGTGAGAACTGGAGAAACAGGGTGAAGCCATGAAACGATGAAAATAATGGGATATAGATCTCTGACTGTTAATGGAAAAAGAATAAAAAAGATCAGAACTATCATGCTGAGTCGGTTCAGTAAAAGACAAATCACAAAGTTACCAATCACCATGGCAACTCAAAGTCTACCAAAATATCATAAACAGCTCGAAAAAAATAATTAAAGAGGATTTGAGTATTGCATGATCAATTATCTTTTCATTTATTATTTTGCATCTTTTTACTATTTTCTCGATATTTGAGGCGTTTGAAGTCGTTTGCTCTCGGCGCTAATCGACGACGTTTTTAAACAATGCTATTCGCCAGTTTTCGTTGAATTCATGAAGGAATAAAAATTAAAAATTAGATTACAACAAAATATTTGCTAAAGAATTGTAGTAAAGTTGGTGCACTTTTGCAGACGAAGAATAAGATTATAAATGCGCTTGCAAAACCTTCCATTCCGCTCTCAAAATAGGCATTTAGCCTATGGACAATCAATTTACACTCTATTCTAAAAACGTTTTTAAAGCTACGTTAACCGTTTGAAAAAAGTATTGAATTGTCTTTTAAAAACAACACTTTTTTCGAGAGATACTCGTAATCATTACTTTGGATTTTTAGACGACAGTTAGGATGCTAAGCAGCTGAAAATACTTAAACTTTACATCTAAAACTTTTTTTTCTATTTTCTATTTTTTGTTATGAATATCAGTTAACACAAATGACGAATTGTGGTGTAAAATGTATGATTTTTAAAGCAAAATATCAATCAAGCCAAAAAGATATTAAAATTTATTAACATACTGTTATATCATTTGTTTCTTATGCTTGCTGAAAAAAATTGCATGTACGAGATAATAAAGGTTTTTTTGCATATTTTAGCTTGTCAACTGAAATGAATCATTTGGGAAATGCTTTAGGGATCATTTTTGTAATCGAGCAATTTTTTCTTGGGTGGGGTTTTTCGTCTCAAAAATTATATTCGACCTTACTTACTTTAGGAGTAATTTAAGTAGAGGTATCCAGTTTGCTTTGCCAGTTTTTTTAGCGAGAAGAAGTTGGTCAGCATATTCTAACTTTAGCGACAATCTCTGGGAATTAAGTGAGCAGACGCAAGGTTCCAATCATAAAATTAAAGCATGACAACAAAACATCTATTGAATCATTTACACCTGTAATGTTAGAAAACTCGTTCGTGGCGTTGAATTTCAAGCTAAAGAAGTCATTACCTGGATACGGATTAGAACAAATGCAATGATACGGTGGGGGGAGAGGTGGTACCAGGACAGGATAATCCCTAGAGGGGGAGGAGAGGGGGGTCAGTAAACAATCCGTGAATAAGCTGCAACTATTTGTTACTTAGTATTACGCTTACTTTCAACTTATGTTAGAAGATAAAAATATATCATGAATGATATCCACGGCTCTTGAAAATTAAGAAAGGCCGAGTTAAAAGCCCCTATAAAGTAAATTATTCTTTCTTAACCTTTGCAGGAGCTTGTCGCATCGATAGAATCTGCATAAAAGAACCCCTGTTTTATGTGTCAGGCTATATAGCATATATTTCTGAAATGGTAAGGTATCTAGTTTAAGTGCCCCTTACTCCTAACTCAATATTTTCAGTATCGATTCCATATGAAGTGAATAGTTGAGGGTAAGATATTTTTATATGATTTGAGTGATTCATTTTGGAGATATCAAGGACGTTGATTTTTACGAGAAAACAACGATGTGTTACTGCCCCAGAAAAAAATTGTATTTTAAAATAATGCTTTCTATGACATCACACTCGTTAACATATAATCATAAATTATTGATATATCTAAATTATATTGCAAGTTATTCCTAAATTTTTTGTACTCTACTTTGTCAGTATGAAAAAGTGCTTTATTTATCAGGCTAAAGTGGTACATCTTTATAGTCGTATTAATGTTCGCAGTTAACTCTTTTATGAGGGAGTTAACTGCCGGCGTATAGCAGGCGCCAGGTTGAGTAAAAATCACCTCAACACATTATATTCAGTATAGCTTCGATGTCTTCCAATAGAAAATGAAAACTTTATCTAAAAACTGAAATCAATTTTTGGAAATTGAAAATAACAATACAAGTGGGGATTAAGTTTAATATTCTTTCAGAACATACCTCATTAATTCAACTTGAATTTTTTATCTGTATTCATCGAAATTTTATTTGAACATCTAATCCAGAAGATTTTTAATTTGTTTCAGGAACTTAAATGTGATTCAGTTTTGCGTATTGATTGGTTCTTAGAAAGGCCGGAATCAATTTTAGTTCAGTCGTAATTACTGTATTTTGTCTGTGTTTGCTTGTCAGAAGAGATATCTAGAGCAAATTCAAACTGATCTCAGTACCGCTGTTGATATACGTACGTTATTACCTATCACGCAAAGAAAAACTGGAAAATAACCGTACAGGACCATGAAGAAGGCTGGATGATTACCCTTTTTTGTTTTTCTCTCTCTGCAAAGTTTAACACGTTAAACTCTAGCTTTTCCGATTCGATTTGTGAGGAGTTAGCCGTGCCGTGCACTGACTTGGCACGACCCCATAAGCGTATGCTTCAATTACTTATCGTGTGGAAATGAAGTTTATGTATGTATGTATGTATGAATATAATGTAACTATGTGTAGCCTAGAGGTTGTTTTCTGCATAGTTAACTATGTTTTCTGTGAGTTAGCCGTGCCCTGACTTAGATCAGCCCAGACAGGTCGTTTCAGGCTATCGATAGAATTTAAAGTTTTCCCCTCTCATGAACAGATTCAGATAAACAAGAAAAAAAACTATACAAACTCATTCATTACTAACTTGTACTTAGAGGACAAAAAGTTTCTCCACTAGAAACACATTACCAAATGTCATCATTTTGGATCATCTTCATCACCTTCGATGAGCGAGGACACAGCAAATACAAGCAATGTATTCCTCAGAATACGCATTACGTAAACCAGAGTTTAACGTATTTATCTATAGAAGAGATAACTAGCTAAAAACTAGTGTGAGCTACGTCGGTGTTTCTAATGAAACAGTAATGATAAAAAGGTAAAYTATACACCGTGAAAAGATGAAAACATTTACTGACGTTTCGGACGCTAGTCCTTCGTCGGAGTAAAAGAGCTATACACCGTGAAAAGATGAAAAAACTTACTGACGTTTCGGACGCTAGTCCTTCGTGGGAGTCCGACGAAGGACTAGCGTCCGAAACGTCAGTATTTATCTATAGGAAGGTTGCTTTGAATGGATAGAAGGCAAACTTAAAGAGTTTCAGATTTTGTTCTCAAAATACTGTTATATACTTTGTTTTTTTTGAGCGATGATTGACCATTCATGGATAATTAATCTGCACTAGGGTCAGTAATACTCACAGCAAATGAATACTTCAAGTAAGTCCTCTTTTTCTGACTTCTCCAAATGAACTGTGGAAAAATAGAGACGGAGTAATCAGGCTCTATTCTTTATAGAATATGACTCCTTTATATCACACTGTTTGATGCTCAAATTACTAGCGAAAAATTTGACTTAAGGCCTTGGAAAAACATCTGGTACTGCGTCGTTAAACATTCGCACCTTCAATGAAAGATAGGTGCCAAATATCTTGCTATTCCGTAAATAAAAAAAGGAGAATCGATAAAAACAGGAAGTAAGTTTATGGCATATTCAGTTTAGTCAGTATGACCCCCGTCCCGCAAGAACGACACGAGACAAAAAACACAGTCCTTTTTTTTCTCTTTTCTTTTTTTTTTTTTTTTTTTTTTTTTTTTTTTTTTCTGTTTGTTTGCTTGTTGTTTTTTTGTTTTGTTTGGCGGACAGGTGGAAAATAAACTGTATGCTTTAAAAACTGGCGATCCATAATAAATTTGAAGCCAAAATTATATCAGTAACACAAATGATATACAAAACAAGACGCACTACCACTATTCCTAAAACCAAGGACTTAACGGACTTAAGACGAACACTTCAATTTCTAAAATATTTTTTTAGATCGATATATTTCTGACGCATGATACAATCAAAAATGTAATATGAAGTCACCGAAGAAAAATAAACTCCCGGTTTTATGATTTGGTTTTATTGGCTCATTTTTTTGTTCTTTTTCCAGCTGCCTTTTTAACATAATAAGATAATTGTTYTCAGGGTAAAACCGCTGGTCACCGGCCATTGAAGCAGGTTCATGCACTGTCCGTTGCATTTACGTGTACAAGCAGTGATGAAGATGAAAATGAAGATGTAGATGAAGATGATGATGATGATGATGATGATGATGCATGTACGTTGCATTTACATGTACAAGCAGTGATGAAGATGAAAATGAAGATGTAGATAATTATGATGAAGATGATGAATATAAGTTGCATTTACATGTACATCGGTGATTGATGAAGATGTAGATGAAGATGATGATGATGATAATGCATGTRCGTTCAATTTAAGTGTACATGCGGTGACTGATGAAGATGAAGATGATAGTTCCCACCCAAAATCCAAAATGGTTACCATTTCGTCATACAGACCACGGCAAACTAAGAAATTGAAACTTTACATTAACAACATCAATTATGCGTATTTAAAGTCATGTTATAATTATTTTCCAAATTGAAATGGAATAGGGATAAAAATTCATGATTAAGACGAGAATTACAGATCCTTGAAATGTCGTAAACCATTATATAATTTAAATTGATCTAAACATCTAGCTCTAAAAGGCCAGTCAAGTGAATGACTTAAGCTCCTAGCTCTTTCTCTGGTTACAATACTAATTCATTAATATTTGTATTGATAAAAGTCTCTGAATGATTCTTACACAAGATGAGACGAAAAATTGAAATTGAAAATTTATAAGCCGCATTTTTTCTACATTTGCTTGTCATATTTTTTTAGTTCTCAGAAAGAAATTGACTTTTCCTATGAAAAATGAAATAAAGAAACGACTCGCCTTTCTTTTCTT